ATAGCATTCTCACTCCTGATCACTGTTGAGCAGACCCCTGAAATCGTGAATATTTCCCCTCGTAGTAATAAGCTTACCAGCTTTCACTGTTTGTGCTTTGGACAAATGCTAAAAGCTGCTAGCATCTATGCCATCATACTGTTTTTCCAATGTGAACAATGCTTGCAGCATAAACAAAGGAATACACCTGGGAGAGGAAGAGCAAATTACTGAACTCCAGAATGTCCCATCACAATCTCTTATTTCATGGGATGGGAATGTGGGCGTCAGCATTTTGTCAACCATTCCTAATACCCTGAAGAATGTGCTGGTGAGCCCATTCTTCAAATAATCCATCTGATGTGGGTACACCCACAGTGCTGTTAGGAAGGGAGTTCCAGGATTTGGCCCAGTGATAGTGAAGGTGTGGTGATACAGTTCCAGGATAGCGTGTAGAGATCTTGCAGATGGAAATGTTCCCATGCATCTAGATGATAGAGGTCATGGATTTGGAGTGTTGTCAAAAGTGTCTTGACCAGTTGCTATAGTGCATCTTGTAGATGATGCACACTGCTACCATTCTGCAATGGTGCCAGAGGAAGTTGTGTTTAAGGTGTTAGATGGAATTGCAATAAATACACTCCATTGTGCTGAACTGTGTCAAGCTTCTTGATTGTTTGTTGGAGTTGCACTCATCCAGACAAGCAGAGATTATTCTGTTGCACTCCTGACTTGCATCTTGTAGATGGTGGAAAAGCTTTGAGGAATGAGTTGTTCACTGAAGAATTCCCAGTATGAATAGTATCTGGCAGTGGTGACTGGACTAGAATCAGAAGCAGAAGAAACCCTTTCTTATTTTAGTGTCTCCTCCAATTCAGACCAAGACCACTGAGATTAACTCCGTCACTGAAGATGCTGCTAGAGTAAGATTCACAAACTGACCAGGAAACAAACTTGAGCCTTTTCTCCTATGTTATTTGACATTCTTGCCTTCCAGTTTCTTTGTGGGCTACTAACAAGTCCCCACGTAGACCACCTTGGAGATTCAATTCTAGCTGAACTGAAATCTGGCATGAATCCCTCATTAAGATCCAGTCGTTCATCACCTAATTATAGAAGTGATGCTGAGTAAACTGAACACCCCACCCCTTACCTGATATGGGACGCAAGGAAGCGTGCAATTTGACTGGTGCATGAGGACCATATGGAGATTAGAAAAGAAGGTCTAATTTGAATGACCCCCTCATTGAGACACTGGATGGAATTTTCTTCTTCCACAGGTAGCAAACTTGGAGTGGGAAAGGTGTTTTAAGAGCACGGGGTGATGATGCATCCAAACCTCCCCACCTTCCTGCCTCCTCCAGAATTGTTTTCAGCTGGAAGGCCCATTATCAACCCTCCCAACATGTCACTAATTGCGGTCTTTAGGTGACCAATTACAGTCTTCAGCCTGTCACCTCTAGGATTAACCCAGCTGTTGGATAGCTACTAACCTACACACAGTATGTTACCTTGGGGCAGGGATTGTAAGTGCCCCTGATCAATAGCCATCAAGGCCTGATCAGGAATTGGACATCAGCAGGGAAGGTATCAGACAGCAGTCACCGCCTACCCTTGCTTCTGAAATGCAACCCCCCAACTTCCTTTCTCCATGACTCCTTACCTCCGAACCCATCTCCCTCTTTCTGCCCCACTCCCCCCACCCCGAACCCCCCCCCACACATTTTTCACTTAGAATCATAGAATACCTACAGTGTGGAAACAGGCCATTCGGCACATTGTGTCCACACCAACTCTCCAAAGAGCATCCCACCCTTCTATGCTATCCCTGTAACCCTGCATTTCCCATGGCTAATCTACCTAGTCTGCACATCCTTGGACACTGTGGGAAATTTAGCATGGCCAATCTAACCAACGTGCACATCTTTGGACTCTGGGAGGAAACGCAAGCAGACATGGGGGTGGGGGTTGGAAGTGTGCAAATTCCACACAGACAGTAACCCAAGGGTGGAATCTAACCTGGGTCCCTGGCATTGTGAGGCAGCAGTGCTAACCACTAAGCCACCATACTGCCGCTTATATCTGTTCACAGGATCGTCAGTGATCCTGTAACTCTGCAAGTGCTGTTCTGTCAACACTCTTATGCTGAGCACAAGAATGGCTGGCCCCTGATTATGCAGCAGATCTTGTTGGGAAAGATTTCCCCTCCTAGAGTCTTGATTCCAGGGAAGAAGGCTCACTCGCTAATGCTTGCTTGGTATGTTGCATAAAAACATAGAAAATAGGAGCAGGAGTAGGCTGGTCAGCCCTTTGAGCCTGCTCCCCCATTCATTTATGATTATGGATGATTATCCAACTTCATATCCCTTTCCTGCCTTGTCCCCATATCCTTTGACCCTTTATCCCCAAGTGCTTTATCCAACTGCTCCTTGAAATCATACAATATTTTAGCCTCAGCTCTATTCGGTGATAGAAAATTTCACTGGCTCGCCAATCTATGAGTGAAGAAATTTCTCCTTATCTCAGTCCTAAATGGTTTACTCCCTATCCTTAGATTGTTACCCCTGACTCTGGACTCCCCTGTCATCATGAACAATCGGGGCAGCACGATGGCTCAGTGCTTAGCACTGCTGCCTCACAGCCCAGGGACCTGGGTTCGATTCAACCCTCGGGCGACTGTCTGTGTGGAGTTTTCACATTCTCCCCGTGTCTGCGTGCGTTTCCTCTGGGTACTCCAGTTTCCTCCCACGTTCCAAAGATGTGCAGGTTAGATGGATTGACCATGGGAAATTTCCCCACAGTGTCCAGGGATGTATAGGCTAGGTGGATTAGCCTTGGGAAATGTAGGGTTACAGGGATGGAATAGGGGGGTTTGGTGGGATGCTCTTCAGAGGGTCGGTGTGGACTCAATGGGCTGAATGGTCTGCTTCGACGCTTGAGGGATTCTATGATTCTGTGAACATCCTTCCTGCATCTAGTGTGTTTAGTCCTGTTAGAATTTTATAGGTTTCTATGAGAGACTCTCTAATTCTTCTGAACTCTAGTGAATGTAAACCTAACTGATTCAACCTTTTTTGTACATCAGTCCTGCTGTTTCTGGAATCAGTCTGGTAAACCTGCGTTGCACTCCCTTGATAGCTAGAACATCTTCCTCAAATAGGAAGACCAAAACTGCACAATATTCTAGGTGTGGTCTCATCAAGGCCCTGTACAATTGCGTCAAGCCATCCCTGTTCCTGTACTTGAATTGTCTCTCTATGAAGACCAACATACTGCTGCACTTGCAGGCTTACCTTCAGTGACTGATGTACGAGGACACCCAGGTCTCATTGAACCGTCCCCCCTCTCAATTTATAACCATTCAGATAATCCACCTTTCTGTTTTTGCTTCCAAAGTGGATAACCTCACATGTATCCACGTGGTAGGAAAATCACATCTCACAAACTTGATTGAGTTTTTTAGTGAAGTAACCAAAAAGGTTGAAGGCAGCGCAGTAGACATTGTTTACTTGGACTTTAGGTCCTTTGACAAGGTGCTGCATGGTAGACTAATTAGTAAAGTTAGATCACATGGGATTCAGGGTGAGCTTGCCAGTTGGATACAAAATTGGCTTTATGGTAGGAGACAGAGGTGGAGGGTTCTTTTTCAGATTGTATGCCTGTAACCAGCAGTGTTCCACAGGGATCGGTACTGGATCCAATTTTGTTTGTTATTTATGTAAATGATTTGGATGAGAATATAGGAAGCATGGTTATCTAAGTTTGAAGAAGGTTATCTAAGATTGCAGAGATCTTCATCAATTGGGTCAATGGGCTGAGGAGTGGCAGGTGGAGTTTAATTTGGGTAAATGTGAGGTATTGCAATTTGGAAATGTAAACAAGGATAAGACTTATTTAGTTAATGGTGGGGCCCTAGGTAGTGTTGTAGAGAGCGAGAGAGACCTAGGTGTTCAGGTACCTAATTCTTTGAAATTTGAGCCACAGGTAGACAGAATGGTTAAGAAAGCATTTAACTGCTTGCCTTCATTGTTCAGACATTTGAGTGTAGGAGTTGGGATGTCATGTTGAGGTTGTACGGGACATTGGTGAGGTCTCTTTTAGAGTGTTGTGTGCAGTTCTGGTCGCCCTATTACAGTTAAGGATGTTATTAAACTGGAGAGGGTTATAAAAGGTTTTGGAGTAGATCTGTAGCTCGGGTTGTGGGTGTTGAGGTTGGTTGGCTCGCCGAGCTCTTTTGTTGTTTCGCAGACGTTTCGTTACCGTGCTGGGTAACATCCTCAGTGCAGCCTCCGATGAAGCATCGGTGTGTTTTCCCGCCTGGTTTTTAAACTCTGGTGTCCGTTGCGATTGCCTCGCTTCCGGGTTTCCTCCGTAGTGGAATGTATATGGGGTCGAGTTCAATGTGTTTATTAATAGCCTGCTTCGTGGAGTGCCATGCTTCCAGGAATTCTCGTGCTTGTCTCTGCCTAGCCTGTCCCAGGATCTTCGTGTTGTCCCAGTCGAAGTCGTGGTTCTCCTTGTCCATGTGGATTGAGAAGTGGCAGCAGGGTTTCCAGTTGGCAGCTGTGACTCCTGCTACCTCAATGATTCTGTCCACTGACCTGCACTATGATCTCGAGCATAATACCCAGATAAACCAATAAATATACCTCTAAAACACTCAACATAAATGGATTCCTACAAGAAGATAGTCCCTGAAGATAGCATTCTAAAGGAAAACATAAAAGTTTTGGATTTTAAAAGAATTGAAAGGTTTAGAGAATCATCAAAGTTGAGATAGATTGCATGTCCAAACAGTAAAGCTACTTGCTTAAATTCAGAATTTTATCTCCATTATTTATTTTTAAACTAAAGTGCAACTTAGAAATATGCCTTTTTTTTTTTAAAATGACCCCCTCTCATCCAAAGTTGTTCTGTAACGTTTGATCTAAAACAGCCAGTATTACACTGCATTGTTTTTGAGGCTTTGGGGGAGTGAAAGTTCCTCTAAAATGCATGCCAAATTTCATTTTCTTTTTCAGATCCTAGTGAATTGTTGGAAATACATGGATACAGCACAGCTCATTTTCCTTGGCAGTTGGGAGATCTGTGTAGCCAAGGGTCCTCTTGTTTATCCTGCTCAACCAGTGGTTCTCCCTTTGACATGCCCAGCTGCTGCAGCTGTGGAAATGACAGGTAAAAAGAACAGGATAATATTTCATTAGAGTGTTCCTGAGTTCAATTACGTGTGCAGGTTTTACAAAATAGGATTATATTTACTTTAATTCCAGCATTACCTGTCTGGTTGACTTAACAGAGCATAAGAAGAAAGGTTTTTCATGGATAGCAAGTAAAGTAGTAATTAGAATATAAGGAACTGTACAACCAATTAATTACTTTGTGTTATAATGACTTAATATGACATTGATATTTCTTCCAAAGTAGTGATGGGTTTTTGTTTTGTTATTGGTTGATGGTAGAATGTTGGCCAGGGTACAGGGAGAGTTCCTTTGTGATCAATTACTTTCAGTTGAATGTAACTGGTTGTGTCTTGATCTTGTGTTGAGCTCTCAGGCTCCTACATCATCTGTATTAGTGATGGAGTTCTTGTACAACAACAAATGAAGGTGACTCCATAACTCCTGGTTATTTTTCTTTTGAGTGAGGACTGCGGAAGCTTTAGAATCAACATTTTTCTAGCTATGTATTAAGTCATGAAATTCTAGAGCTTAAAAACAGATGCATAGAAATAAGAGCTCAGGAATTGGAAGAGATGCAATTATAATGCTTTCCTGAAGACCCTGAGTCTTATCAGGAAATGTATTGAGGGTATTAGCAGACCTCTGATGCCTCTGTCAGATGTTCATTTTTCACATCTGACCATGATAGTGACTGTCAGCAGATGAATCAACCATGAGGAGTCCTATCCATTGAGAGTGAGCAATGTTCAAATGTGTGCATTTTCTAGCATGATTCACTGGACAATGATTGGGAGAAGGAGCATAGAAGTTACTGGACAAGAATAGGCAAAATGTCTATCTTTGTAGTCAGTTGTTTCAATGGTAATGGAGTTGTTTACTACTCCTCCACGTTGGCTTTGTTGTCTTTTCCAACGATGCCAAAGTAAATAGCACCACTTCTGCTCTGAAATCAGGTTTTCAATGTGAATCAGCAATTTTAAAAAATCATTGACCAGATTGCTGCTGGCACAAATTTATTGGATTGACTGCCTTATTTGAAGGAAGCACAAACTGATGTTGTGATTTTAATCTAATTATAGTTGAATTTGGCCATCACAGTTTTTTTTTGTCAATGTACTCAAATATTGGCCAAGTGTGCAACTTTCTGATTAACAGTATACTTTTCTGGATGCTGCTTACTTCTGAATCAATAAAGATTAACCATATTGGACGAGGGTGTTAGTACTATGTTGACTTCATTGTTAAGTAACTGAGCTGAAGGGCTGTTGTGACACAGTGGTTTGGTCCCTACCTCCGAGCCAGAAGGTCCAGATTTAAGTCCCACCTGTCCCAGATGTGTGCCATAACATTTCCGAATAGGTTGATTAAAATAACTATAACACTAACTAGTGGTGAAGGAAGAAGCAGACATTTGTAATGTTGCATTCTGTAAATACATTAAGAAAAATATCAGGTTCTAGTTTCCTACTTCAACTGGCTTTAGAATGAATTGACATGCATGGAAGAGAGGGCAGCATAGCGGATAGAACAATAGACTTTATGCTGTATGTCAACAAAAATTGTGTGTGGCGGGAAATGTTTCTAAAGGTAAAAGTTACCCCTTATAATTTCTGTGTAGGATGTGGAAAATAAACATCTGCAATCCATGGTGTTAACACACAAATAGGAATTATCTCATGAGATTAGATCCCCTTGCAAATTTTTTGACTCTTCTATCATAGGACTCCATTAAAGATGCTCTGTGAGAACATGAAGAGGCAAATTGTTTCAAGGGCATTTTATGGATGTAAGTACACTTAAAAGTATTCGGGAGTGAGTGACGAATGCTGTGGAGGGTAGTGTAAGATATTTAGAAATTATTTTAAATCCAAATTTGTATGATGGATCAGCTAATATAGATGATTTTGTAGCATTCTTTAATGTCATCACGATTGATTAATTAGCATCACTGTTGATAATAACCAAATTGTATAACTAGAATTATATTTGGCTAACAGTGAATACTAATATGTAAATTTTGCTGTAATGTTCTGTAATTTATTTGAGAAGCTTAGATGCTAAAAGTTCCTACTGAAGCTCGGGTGGTTTATGGGTCTATCCCTTACTGCTTTTTATGACTTACTTCAGTTGTAGCAGTTTGATGGTCCTATTGATACCTTTATGTTAATGTCGTAGTTCATTAATGTTGTTTTGTTCCAAGGAAGTTAACCATTGTGCTCATAGACTTCTGTGATTCTGCACCCAGGGCTAGCATACTGCCGACACCTCTCTACAGTCCGCACACACCTATCAGCCCTTGTGAATCACACCATCATTCCTCCTGACAAACCATGTGAAGCCGCAGGCGGACTGACTGGAGAAGTTTGGAATAAGTATGAGAAAGATAGGAAGGTAGGACAGCTGAGGAGAGAACAAATTAATCAGAATTCCTGCTTCTGGTCTGTAATTAATTATCACTCTTGAAGTATGTGCATGGCAGGATCAAATTGAGTTGACTAAATAATGTACTAGCATGTATAATCTGTTTATTCCTCTGAACCTAGGGGTGCTCCAAGTGTAAGGTGTAGCGAAGTGGTTGTTACACCACTGTTGCAGTTCAAACAGCCATTGGGCTATCTGACATGTACTTCAGGGTCCATTGTAATCACTTCCATGTACAATTAGAACTTTTTTTGCAACTATGAACAGAAGAATATTCCATTTTTGAACTTTTCTTCCTCCCGTCAATGTTCTTCTCTCCTCTTCTGAAGGCAGTCATTCTTGGCTTGGCATCTATTGTCTGGCCGTTGGCCCTGATTACTTATAACTGGATGGTTTTCAACCATAAGATATAGGAGCAAAATTAGGCTATTTGGCCAATGGAGTCTGCTCTACCATTCGATCCTGGCTGATATGTTTCTCAGCTCTATTCTTCTGCCTTCTCCCTGTAGCCCTTGATCCCCTTACTAAACAAGAACCCTGGAGAAAGGAAGCTGCAGAGAGCCCCCAAAACTGTGCATATATAATTTTCACATACATCCATTGACTGTAGGTTTTGCTGCATTGGCGATCAAGAATAGGAATTATCATAGTTTCTTTTTCTTCCCGACTCAGCAATCCTTAGCCAATTGCAGTGCTTTAGCTGCACTCCTGGCTAGAGAGCTTGGACATCTAATCTGAGACTTTTTTAGTTGTTGTGTCTTCTGGACCAGAAGATAACTTAATTTGACTGAAGGAATATACGTTGCTGTTCACAATCACACGTGGCTTCTGCCTGGAAAACCATCTTAGTTGCAGGTGGACTTGTTTAACCAAGTAGCATAGTCATTTGAAAGTAGGAACCGCTAATACAATCACAGACCTAAAGATTTGGGCATGGTATAGGATAATCTAAATTGAGAGGGGAAAAACGGCATTTTAAAGAATGCAACTTTTCTTTTGGCTTTACCAAGAAATGGTCCTGCAAGATAAACATGTATGATTCTGCAAAAGTTCTACAACAGGTAATTTTAAGCATTAAAGTAACAAATAAAACCATAAAATCATAGAATAATTACAGTTTGATGTTTTTATTCTTAGAATTACAAAAAATTGGAACTGCTGAGACTGGTTTATTATGGAGGAGTCCAGCATGAGATAAGGAAAGATGTTTGGCCGTTCCTCCTTGGACATTACAAGTTTGGCATGAGTAAACAGGACATGGACCAGGTATGTGGTCAACACTTTACTGAATTTCTTAGACTCCAATATGTATCAAGTGGACTTGAATGAGTCAAAAAGATGATAGGTTTTGGAAATTACCTTATCCCATTCCAGGGGCTGCTCTTCTCATATTTGGGAATCAAAACACAATGGGGACTGAGTGTAAGGAAATTTTAGAACCATAGCAAATAGGAACGGGAGTAGGTCATTCGGCCCTTCCAAACCACTCTGCCATTCAACACGATCATGGCTGATCATCCAATTCAATAACCCTGTTCCTGCTTTTTCCCCATTCTCTTTGATCCCCTTACCCCTAAAGCAAATTGTATCTAACTCCTTTGTGAAAATACTTAATGTTTTGTCCTCAACTGCTTTCTGTGGCAGAGAATTCCACAGGTCCACCACTCTCTGGTGAAGAAATTTCTTCTCATCACAAGCCTAAATGGCCCTTCCCATATCCTTAAACTGTGACCCCTGGTTCTAGGCTCCTGGTCATCAGAAACATCCTTCTTGTGCTTACCTGCCTGTATCTGAATATCAGATGGAAAATCATGCAGAATACATCTAATCTTTATCACTACTGTTTTAGATGAACTAACAGGCCATGGGACTAATACATTATTTCCTGTTGAGGTAGATAATGATTGACAGCACTTTAAGATGCATACTCTTAAAATACTTGTACATCATATCCCAAAAATCTTTGAGATGCTGCAAGATAGTGCCATTGATGAAGACAGAACTCCACGTTTGGTTAACAACAGTCAGTAGTTACAAGAAACTACTACCAAAATATGTGCATAAAGAGGTAGCTTAAGCTCTGACTAATTACATTAATCCCTGTGCTTGTCCCACAGGTGGATGAAGATATCGCTGCCAAGTACAGAAGTGTAACAGCAGAATGGAAGGCCTGTGAGTTGGTCGTCAAGCGAAGAGACAGGGAAACGCATTCAGCAATCTTGGCCAAATTTTCATCGGGTAGCAGCATAGATAGTCATGTACAACGTCTGATTCATCAAGATTCCAGCATCAGCAATGATGTAAAGTATTTTGCGTATCACATTTCCTGATTGTGTTAACAATTGGTATCAGTGAGCCCTTCAGATCTCAAACAATTTGCCTTCAGTCTTGGCTTGTGGATGACTCTGGAAAGGCCACATTTATTTTCCACTTATAGTTGCCGTAAGAATGTGATGGTTCTCCTCCCTTGCAATGATTCATTTGACAAATGAATAGCTTCAGAGGGAATTAAAAATCAATTATGTCCTGCAAGATGGAGTTAAATGGAGGTCAGACAAGTCAATATTGGCAGTCTCTTCCTCCCAGAGAGCATTATGGAACCAGTTAGATTTTAGGACATTTTGGCAGTTCTAGGTTGTGTATTGGCATGAGCCTGTAAATTTACTAGATTTATTACTTTGAACTTCAGAAGTTGACATAGTAAGAATCGTATGGACAATCATTTAACCGCAACATTTCAGTATTCAAAAATAATGGCAATGAATCTAAAGGAGGAAAATAGTGTAAACAATACCATACTTCTTTTAAAAAAAAATGCTCATTACACTGCTCAAAGTTAGGACACTACAAACTAATTTAGTTGGGATGCTCTGAGATTGTATCTGTGCTGCTACTTCTTTTTAAGACCCTAGGATGTAGACCACACAGTCCTGAGGACATGTCAGCCTTTCGGTACAACAGTTTTCCTAGCACCTTTTCCCTGATGATGGTGATCGTTTTAACTTCTTCCATTACTATCACCTTTCTCATTTGGGATGTCTTCTAAGTCTTCTACCACAAAGGTGCAAAAAAAAACTGTTCAAAGACTCCACCAATACTTTGTTTTCCATGATCAAATCCCCACATTCTCTTAGTGTAAGTAAAAAGTCATATTGAACTCAAAGAATTAAATCTGTTTCTCTCTCCACAGATGCTGCCAGACCAGTTGGGTTTCTCCAGCAGTTTCTGTTTTTATTTAGATTTTTGGCAACTGCAGGATTTTGTTTTAATTTGAGTGTCCTTCTAGAGAACTGTCTCTCTAGCCTTAGTTACTCTTTTCCTATTCAAATACTTGTAGGAACTCTCACTAATTGTTTTTACATTACTAGCTAGCTTTCTCTCATACTCTGTTTTTGGCCTCTGTTATCTTTTTAGTCATTCTTTGCTGGTTCTTAAAGTCTGCCAGTCATCTGACCTATTGTAAGTCTTTGCAGATTTGTACAATGTTTCTTTCAATGTAATACTATCCTTAACTTCATTAATTAGCCACTGTGATGCATCGTTCTCAAAGAATCTCTCTTTCTGACTGGGAAAAAATCTTTGTTGAGTTTATTTATTATCTTCTTAGAAGACGGCCACTTCAATTGTACACCTACCTTTTAACATAGCTTCCCAGTTCACCTTCGTCAGCTCTGCCTTCATAACCTCATTGTTACCTAGATTTGGGTCTGAAACTCCAGTCATGAACTCACATTTTTCTCTTTAAAACTGAACACTAGTCTAGGATAGACTGCTCCCTGTTTGAAACTACTTAAATCACATTCACCCCCTCCTTCACCAGTGCACAATGGTAGTGATGTGTGCCATCTGCGAGATGCTCTGAGGCATACCGCCAAGGCACTTTACAAGCACGTAATCCTTTCCCCTACAAGGGCATGTGCAGCAGACACATGAACACCATCAGCTGCAAATTCCATCTTGACTTGGAGCTATATTGCCATTCTTTCTCTCAGTTGGGTCAAAATCCTAGAACTCTGTCCTAAATAGCACTGTGGAGATGTTTTCTGACCAACCTGTTCAGAGATATTATTACACACCTCTGGAGCAGGTGGGGCATGAACCCAGGCCTCCTGAAACAGCACTGCAGACATCCCTACACAGGATAGAATACAGCAGTTGAAGATAACAGCTCATTACCATCATATGGGAATAAATGTTGGATTTGCCAGCAATGCCCGCATGCCAAGAATGAATAAAAAGCCACTAACATGTTAACTTAAAATCCATTAAGCAGTGTTGGAGAGCAGAATGGCATGTGTTCACTCTTTCCTCCACAGACCTTTCAAAGTATCTAGGAGGAAGCCCTTCATGCCTCTTCATTGCATGGCCCTTCCCCATTCTTCACTCATGGCCTTCCTCAACTAAGTGTTTGACAACCTTCTATGATTTCTGACTTCATAATGTTTTCAATTCCAATTCTAAGGTGTGTTTCTCAAGTGTGCAAAAACTGACTGGGAGAAAGAAAAGAAATGTAACAAAGTTAACTTCAGAACTGACCTGGTTTCAGCACAAACAAGCCTGGCAGTCAGAAATTGGAACTGAGCTGATTCCTTCTATTGTTCTCTTTAGCAGAATGCTGCAATCAGCAGGACAATGTGCTGGAGCACTTTTAATGATGAAATTGTAAGCACATCACTTAATTGATGGCAGGAGAAGTATATATGATGGCAAGGATTTTCATCCTTGATTCCAGATGATATAACAAATAAATGCTGCAAACGTTGGAAATTTACAAAGTAAAAACTTCAAAAAGTTGGAAATGCATAAATTCACCATCATTATCTCAAATGCAGGTTATCATTTTGATTTTAGGTCCTTCATACAACTCCAGATAATCTTTGAAGGTAATATCCTTGTAGATATGGTAACCCTAACTAGATGGGCAATGGGGAGTTTTACACACATTTTGATTTTAATTTTAAGACATTCATGATATCTGCCCCTACAGGGATTTCTCTGCTTCGCTTCATTATTCACATGAAAACTCTTGGTTAGTTTTACAATGTCATTTCTGTTATTATCCTGTTTAGGTCTTCATTTCTGTTGATGAAGTGGACCAGGGAGAAAAAGCCTTTAAATTGGTGGATGATGTAATGACAACAGTAGTAAACATTGACACCCCAACTGCAGTAGTTGAAGAGAGACCATCAATGGAGTTTGACTCTCCTGATTCTGGACTGCCTTCATCAAGGAATTATTCCGTCACATCAGGACACTCCCGAATCCTTTCAAGTACTGATGATCAAAGTTTGTGCATGGAAGAAGGTGTATTGGGAGAAGAAGATAACACTGAGTTACACAGGGTTGAAGAACAGACGCCCAGTGCAAGTGAATCTGGTTCCAGAAGAAAAAATGTCCTGCAAAAGGCTGAAGCTCAGGACTCGTTGTCAGAGGAACAGCTGTGCACTCAGTTAGATTTAATAATGAATGAGGAGAGCAGCTCATCTTTCCCGTCTACAACGTACACGGTCAGTTGGCTTTGATTCTATTCTGAAGAGATGATTTAAAAAAAAGGTAAAGCAGTGATTGGGACAGGTTAAAAGAGAAGTCTAGAACATGACAGATGAAATAGCATGTAGAAAAGTGTAAAGCCATCCATTTTGGTGTTAAAAACAGAAAACATTATAATCTTTAATTGTTCAGACATGTTGATATTTGCAAGGAACCAGTGTTTCACTTAAAGTCATGATTTTCAGGAACCCAACAACAAGTGAGGACTGACTATGCAGCTAATAATTAGGAAAGCAAATTGTGTGTTAATCATTATTACAAATGGATTGGAGCTTGGGTAAATATTCTTACTGCATCAATGTAGGGCTGCACCTGTTGTGCATTGGACAGCTTTGGTTGTCTACCAAAGGAATGCTTTTACTTGCCATCTGCAGAGTATAACAAAGGTTCACTAGATTGATTCCTGGGATGAAGAGATTGTCCTGAGAGAAGAGAGATTCCCTCAATTTTAGAAGAATGAGAGTTGATCTCATTGAGGCATACCAAGTTTTTAAGGGGCTTGACAGATGCTGGGAAGATGCTTTCCTCTGGCTGGGGATCACAACCTCCGAAAAAAACATCAGCAATTTAGTACTGAGACAAGGAGGCCTTTATTCACTCAAAAACATTTTTACGTCTTGTAACAAATAGAATTGAAGGCTTCATGAATTAGTAAGGACTGATAATGAAACATTACTAAATAATGATTTCTGAGCTCTTCGTGATTTATTACGAAGATGGCCATGATAAAGTATTGGTATCTATTGTAGTACTAAATGAGTGAAAGACAACCAATCTGGGGTTGATATTGGACGTGTGGTATGAACAGATATTCTGGGGTTATGTTTGATTACCTTGGAGAAACATTTCAAAAGGAGATTTTACAATTTTCTATCTCAGAGTGCTGACAATGCTCAGTCATTGGGTATATTTAAGGCAGAAATTGGTAAATTATTGGATATGACTGGAATCAAGGGGTGTGCAGCTAGTGCAGGAAGCTGGGGTTGAGATAGAAGATTGCCCATAATTTTATTGAATAACAAAGCAGATTTGAAAGATGAAAATGTTTACTCCAGATTCTATTTATTATATACTCATGTCAACTACTCAGTTTAACCTCCTCTCATTTTCTTCTTGTCAAGACTTGCTTGTTTCATTGATGATTAATTGGATATTATTCCTTTTCCATATTATATGAACCATTGCGTTCATGACGACAGTCATTTATTCAGTCCTTCTCCGAGTCGCTGACTTCATGTTTTCCTCTGATGACTTCAAGTTGTTTGACCCCTCATCTTAAATACGTTAAATGTAACATTGTCTCTATTTTTGTTGGGCCACATTTCACTATGTTATTCAAGGCTTCTCACTGTTGTAAGCAGAGAGTTGATCCTCAGTGTAAGATTGATGTGCAAATTATCCATATTTCTCCAAGGATGCCAGAACTGTTTTGAGATATTGATTTATTCCTCCAACTCTTGGAAATTTGACTGGCTCAGTTATCCAGCAAAGTGACAACATTGAAGAAACAAAGGCTATGTTGTGCATGAGGAAGTGATTCAGTCACTTAGATTACCACAATTTTAAATAATTACAACTATTTGAATCAATTTACTGGAGTACCAATTAATTGTTTTTTTTTCCGTATTTGGTTCTGGAATGAAAGCGAAGCTGTATTTATGAATGACTTGCATGGCTCACTTTAGGGAATTTAAGAGCAAGCCACATAGTGAGAGTGGATTTACATCAGGTAGGGGTACCAAATTCCCAGAAGGGCAGTATTGTGAATCACTTGAGCTTTTATGACATTCTGCTGGATGTTATGATTATTTTGTCCTGGTGCCTTCAAAAAATTTCACCATTTGAACTGCTGAGCTCTGGGTTACTCACCTAGTGCTCACCACACAATTCCCTGGAGCAACACAGCTGACGTACTGTCATTAAATCCAAAGAACTGGGCATCATAACTGATTAAACTGTGACTAGGAGTGACATACCAAGGCAGCAGAGAATGGTTTATAAGAATTCTGTGTTTTAATTCAGGATCTATTTATCAAATCTCTTATCTATAATTATTAAGTAAAGTTTGAATATTCCTTCTCTCTTAGACAGAACTGATGGATGCTGTATCATTAAATTGGCACCGGATTGATAAGGATGTACAGCGTTGTGATAGAAATTACTGGTATTTTACTGCAATTAACCTAGAAAGACTGAAGACTGTAATGTGCAGGTGTGGATATGAAACTTTCCCTCTACTATCTGTTGGATAGATGTTCTATATGTTCCAATTTTTTTTTTTTTTTTGCTTCTATCACATTTCTGATGCTTGTTTTCTCTTTGCCTTACAGTTATGTATGGGAACACTTGGATGTGGGCTATGTTCAGGGAATGTGTGATCTCTTGGCACCACTAATGGTTATTCTGGACAGTGGTAAGCACTGCTTAATAAATAAGCAATTGCACTTGAATAAATTCCACAATTCTTTATCCCAATCTTAAAGTGTCATTGCACATGGCTTAATGGTTGAAATAGCTACCTCAAAGTGAGATTTAAGCTCTTGTACATGTTGTAGAAGATAGCAACAAAGGTTACAAAGATTAATGCAGACAGAAAATGAAACGTCACAAAAATATTTCGATTTCTGAGCTCTCGGTGCTTCTTTGCAAAGATGGCTGTGATAAACTAGTACTGTGGTAGAAACAAGTGTGAAGGGTGACCAGTCTGGAGATGAAGAAGATTTGGGTTGCACAGAAATTCTAGAGTTAGGTTTGATCATGTTAGGGAATCATCTTTAGCAAATTTTGGCATGTAGTTTAGGCTGACACTATCAGTGTAAAACTGAAGAGTTTTGCCGCACTACAGGAGATGCCCACTATGAGCTGAATGTCAAATTATGGGCCATGTCTGAGTTCTTGATTAGCATAACTGGGAACATGGTGCTGTTCAAAGAACAGCAGAAGAGATCTCCTGATACGTTAGCTAAAACTCATCCTGAAACCAACATCATTAAATCAAATTGTCCAACCATATTTCTCAGTGATGCTTGTGGGACCTTGCTGTGTAGAAATTGGCTGCTGTACTTCTGTCACTATAAAAATGACTACACTTCAAAAGTAATTAATTGGTGGCAAAATCCTGATGTTGTGCAAGTGGCTTTAATAAATGCAGTTTTCTTCTTTCTTTAACCTATACAGAGATATCCAACAGCATCCTGCTTCTTGAATCATCAAAAGCTCTTTTAATTTCAGTACCTTAAAAAGAATGAATGGGAGCCAAAATGTAAACAGTGTGTATCATTGTATGTATCGCCGTTTGGAGAGCAGTGCTAATACAATGGCTGAATGGCCTCTTCCTATGCTATAGCAGTTCTGTACCCATGTGCCCCCTGAAATCGGCGAACTTGGACAACCCTGACCATTAAGTATGTCACAGTAGAGTCATCCAACCTGTATCTGCATTTTTGACTGGAGTGTGCTTGTGTTCTCATTTCTTGTTTAGAGTCCCTGGCATATAGCTGCTTTACTCAGCTAATGAAGCGAATGAATCAGAATTTCCCAAACGGTGGTGCAATGGATACTCACTTTGCCAACATGAGATCCTTAATACAGGTAACAGGACACAGGGATTGCAGTCAACAAGGTTTTTATGAACGGGCAGACCAACGTGAGGTATGAGTGCCAGTATCCCACTACGACGGCTGGGGAATTTAATGTCAGTTAATGAACCTGAAATAAAAAGTAACAGACAGGGCTTACAGCCAACAATAGTTACAATGTAACTAATAAATTATCCTAAAGATCCACCTGCTTCATTGAATTTATTTGAGGAATGAATCCTGCAGTTCAACAACAGTGTTGTTGACTTTTAAATGCTTAACAAGTCATTGAAGTGTAAAGAAGGCCACTCACCACCACCTTCTCAAGAGTAGTTAGGGATGGACAATAAACGCTGACATTACCAATGACACCTGCATCCCATGAATGAATCTTTTAAGAAAGGTTTCATGGTGCCTTCCCAAATACCCAATGCTTGTTGTCCTTTTCTAACAGTAGGTAAAATATTAACTGACATGTCAATCAATGAGAAAGGTATCAGCTTCCCCAATAGTTTATCCAGTGAGCAGTTTAATCCCACAGACCAGGAAGAACCTAGACTTCAAGTGCCAGCCTGCGTAAACTGGTTTTAGGAATACTTTAGCAACTTTAGCAAGGCTACAAGTTGTTTCTATATCGTGACTGCTGTTGTTATTTAATAAATATGGTTGTAGGGCTGGATTATTTTCTGCCCATTAGCGACAGGCTGGGAGGCAGGAGAGCTGAGAAAATGGCAGAAGTAGGTAAGGAATTGAAGACGGACAATCCCACCAGCGGGATTTGTTAGTAAGTGGCAAAATGCAGCTTACTGAGTCAGGACAGAATTGGGCTTGACTGTAATGATAGCTTTGGTCAAACATTGTTCGGTATTCACCGGAAGAGTATTGAAGAATCTGCAGGCTGCACAGCAGCAATTCACTATGTTTATTTCAACGGCATCTCCCATCTCTGAGAAGGTTAAAAGCAGCCACGTTGTGGCTCCCAGCGCATCTAGACTCCCCCACAAGTAACACACACCATCTTCAAATTGACACTTACCATCCTTCATTTAGCTGGATTAACGTCCTGGAGTTCTTTCCTTAACATCATCACTACAAGGACTACAGTAGTTCAAGTAGGCCCACCACCAACTTGATAGGGCGACAAAAGTCACCTTGCCATTTTACAAAGATACATTTTTAAAATACATTAAAGCTCTTGTATGAATAATGGCCATTTAGATGAGGTACCAGAGAACCTAGCTGGTGTACTGTGGCATGGAGCCAATGCTATTAGCAGAGCAGGGTCAAAAATCAACATGGGCGAATAGCTCCCCTAAATAAATAAGATCTCTGTAAATGGAAATACCAAGTTGAAGCAGTTGAAACCGTCTAGCCTGGTGTTGTGAACTCTATCGATCCCTGTTGCTGTCAATTTAGATGAATATGAGTTGTTTTGCTTTTTAAAACTTGTTTTCTCCACAGTATGCCTTATGATCCAACATTCCCGTCTTTGTATTCCAATCCTACTTTCATTCATAAAGTGCTAGGGTCAACAGTGTACAAGTTGTACTATACGTCAGAAAGCATAGAAAAGCACCAATGCATATTTGTTGTTTAAAAAGCATGTTTGTGATTTTTGGCTGTGGGTATACCATTGTTGTATATGAAGTTATATACCATGCTTGTACAGAAACTCAGTGGATCCATAGCCAGAGATAATATTAACTGGCATCTGAGGAAATGGGATTTTCATTTCCAAAATTGTAGTTGTTGAAGGAGCCTCTCTTCAGCTGGTCCTCAAATCTCTGTAAGCTGCAGTGCAAAATCCCTTTGCATTAGAGAACTGTTAACATTAATGAAGTACTATAGCACAAAACAACTGAGTTTCACATCTTGATTTTTACAGTCAGTACATAGGATTTGATGCACGTTACACGAAGTTGATTCTGGTCATCATAATGAACCATAATAATATCTTCAATTCTTTCTCAGATTTTGGATTCTGAACTGTTTGAGCTAATGCACCAGAATGGAGATTACACCCACTTCTACTTCTGTTATCGTTGGTTCTTGTTGGATTTCAAAAGAGGTGGGCATGAAAGTTCCAGTACTTTTACGCAGAATAGTTTAGTAATCACATTGGTTTATCCACTTCTACTTCCCACAGGTAGCAATTCATACTGTGTACTGAAACCACCCAGGACATTGTCATAGATCATGCTGCAGACTTCTCTGCTCCATGTTAATGTAAAAAGTTGCAGTCTGGATTTGCTTGACAATGATAAGATCATAGGCATTGTGCATCCTTAGTTGCCCTGAGAAGACAATAGTGAGCTATCTTCTGCATTCCTTGTGACTCCACTTTCATGAAGGTGTAGGATAAAGAATGCCAGGATTTTGAACCAGTGGCAGTGGAGTTATCTAAGTCAAGATAATGATGTTATGATACTGGGTTGAAGGGAAACTCTGAAGTGATGGTTTAGCTATGATGTTGCTGCTGTTTGTCCTTCTGATGGTACCACTTTCACAACTGACCATCGAGAGACACTTGTCAGACGCGTGATCTCTTCCAGATCAAAATATGTTTAAACACTGCAGAGGATGCAGCATGAGTAGCAAGACTGATCCCAAGTAGAATGATGACCAGCTTTAATAAAGATAGCCAAGTGTGAACATAATCAAAACATTTTATATGGTACTGATGGAAAAATAGAGGTTATCTTTTGACATTTTAATAATGGTATATCCAAATGAATTCCCTGTCAACCTTTTCTATTATAAATTTCTGTGATTGTATTTATTATGCAAATTTGTAATTACACCCTCTGCAATGCCTCCGATGGTGGGAGGGTGTTATTACAGCATATTCTCAGGTAGTTCTGTCTTTAAATTGGTACAGAGGAGTTTAAAATAGAAAAATGAAAAGGATTAAAACTTCTCAGGTCAACTAGACATAGGCAAGAAATGCCATTTTGGTCACATCTCAAATCATCCTTTTCTTAAAAAAAAAAAAAAAATGCCTCTTTTGCTTGATGGATGATAAAGTTTGAATCATTTTTGATCCAAAGAGCTCTCCTCATAATGGAGCTGAATTCTTTAATGGCTGTGTTAGAAGATGAGATTTTATTTACCAAGTAGCCTTTTCTCATTCTGGATGCTGTGTGCTGTCACCCTTTGTCTAAAAGACTAGTTGAAGCACATTATTAGCAAAGGAAAGCCCTGGAAATGGAGTTCAGCATAATGTTGCTAGGTTCCAACTGTTTCTATGACAACTGCATTATCAATCAAGTGTCATCTGTACCTTTAGGGCTTGCTATGTTAATTTTAATCCAGATTATTCTGCAGCATTTCAAAAAAATAATGTGTAGCTCTTGGATACTTCGCCCAAAAAGTATGGCTCATGTTGCATTTACCTGAAAGGCAATCAAAAGATACTCTTGATATTATGCACTGGTCAATATTTATCTCTCAATTAATATTGAAATAGATTATATGGTCATTACATTGTTCCTTGCTATTTGTGTGCAAATTTGCGACTTTGTTTCCTATTTTACAATAATAGCTACACTTCACAAGGTACTTCCACAGCTTTTAGTATTTTGGGACATCCTAAGGTCCCAAATGGCACTATGTAAATGCAAGTCTTTTTTTTTTGTCCAGGAAGTAGCCTGTCTGTCCTCGCCCATCTTTATTACCCTGTTACACTACAATACCTCCATTTGCTAATTTATCCTTTGGCCAATGTGTCGGTTAATTCACTACCCTCAAAGATCCTAAACTCTGTCCTCCTCTTGTGCTGAGTTAAAAGAAAGGCAGACCTGTATTTTTAAATGTTTTTGAAAACCTCAAGGCCTCTCAAACCACAAAGTAATGTTAAAATGTAGACACTGTCGTAATGCAGCAGTTATTTTGTGCACCAGCAAGAAGTTAGCCTCCTGTCAAAAATAAGAGCAGATCTTCTTTTGGTGAGTCTATTACTTGAGCTGTTCATATGTTATAAACAGTGATAAGAGAAATGGACAGATCATCTGTTTCAGGTCAGGGTGAGGGATGCATATTGGGAGGATTTCCCTGTTCTCCAGTCAAGGCTTTGTTTTAATGAATTGGCTGTTAAATTCACTTCAAACTGTGCAGCAGTCCTCCACTGCTGGTATTTAGCAAAATGCTCATTTGGAGAAATACTGCTGAGTGCAGATACAATGGGACAGGTAGTCTCCTCCTGCATTGAAGCAATTCTGTATCCATCTGCAATGATTGATTGGACTGCGTGGCCTCTTCTGTGCTGTATAGTCTTTTCAGGTCTCTGAGGTGGGGAACTGAGTCCACATCTTCTGAGCCACACTTGGCAGCATTGTCATCAAGCTGACTCTTTGTTGCCATGGTTTTTGTGGGTAGAGGATGCTACCATTGGACTTGGCAAAGTTGAGTTAGAGAAGGAAAATAGTCATCCGCAGCCGTTGCTGTGAAATGTATTGCGTGCGAAGATTGAGTGGGGACGACTACGTGTACAGTTCCTGCGGCCATACAAAAATTGGCATACATGTGAAGATTAAAACAAAGTGCAAGCCAATGGGCAGCACCTGCTGAACCAACGCACCAGCAAGAAGTTAGCCACCTGTCAAAAATAAGATCAAATCTTCTTTAGTTGAGTCTATTACTTGAACTGTTCATATGCTATTTATCATTATTTCTTCTGTATATAATCATGTTACTTTCAAAATAAGAGTGTTCTGAAACATCTCTCACTTAAAATGACAATCTTTTGGCACAGAACTCTTGTACGAAGATGTCTTTGCAGTGTGGGAGGTTATCTGGGCAGCAAAGTATATCTCTTCAGAGTACTTTGTCCTTTTCATTGCCTTGGCTCTGGTGGAAGTTTACCGTGAAATCATTCGTGATAACAACATGGACTTCACAGACATTATAAAGTTTTTCAACGGTGAGTTCAGGCATTTTCAGAAGTACATATCGTTTTCTCACTGTTTTTCATAGAATATGTGTAAACGTTTTGCAGCTTTCTGGCTTTTTTGCTTCCCCTTTATCTGCATGACTGAACATCCAGCTGGCATTCCTGAAGTTTTCCGTCGACACGCTGAGTAGCTGGCTCAAAACTGAAGTGGCAGACTTTACTGTTCTCACTTCCCTGGGGCCAGGAGTGGTAATTAGCACAGAAAGGCTTAAGGCAGAAATGAAAAGAAGTTAATTTCCAAAGTAAGCTGTCCTTGTGACTTAGAGGAGTACAATTGTAAAGTTGCATCCCACGTACCATTCTCAGGTCAGCCTATTCTCAGCAAATCAAGAGTAATAGAGTTCTCATCACTGCCAGTCTCAGTCCTATTTTGGTCATTTTTTTCAGCACTAAATAGTAAACAATGCAAATGAGCCTGACAGATTTTTATTTTGGCAAAAGTAGCCTGAAGACAATGAGACTGTTTCTCCTAACTGAAATCAGCTTATGTAATAAAGACTGAGGATCACATATGGAACTTTCTGATTTGGTATGGTTCTGTGTCACACCATTACTGCCCCTGTTAACGCAGACTGGTTCCAAGGCTGAGAGATTGCAGTTTCATGGATGGGGCTTAAAGGTTTTAAATAGAGTAATTAAGGGAAAAACTATTTCTAATGACTCAACACTTGGTAACCAAAATTTCAGGTACTTGTCGGAAGAATCTAATTTGAGGGGGGTATGCATTTTAGGTGAGAGGGAGAAAGTTCAAAGGAGATGGTGAGGGACAGCTTTTTTTTTGCACAGAATGGTAGGATTCTGGAATGCACTGCCAGGGGTGGTGGTGGAGGCAGACATGATAAGGGTATGTAAGGGACTTTTAGGTAAGCACATGAATATGCAAGGAATGGAGGGATACGGACCAAGGGCAGACAGGAGGAATTAGTTTAATTTGGTGTTTTGTCTGGCACAACATCATGGGCTGAAAGGCCTGTCCCTGTGCTGTACAGTTCTATATTCTGTGTTCTAACTAGATGATATGTGAGGAAAAAATTTGTTATGCAATGAATGGTTAAGGTTTGCAATGCATTGCCTGAACTGGTGTTGGAAGCATGCTTAATAGTATCTTTCGGAATGGATTTGAATAAATACCTGAAGGGGAAAAAATTTTAATGCCTAATTTTTACTTCAGAAATGGCGGAGCGTCATGACGCCCAGCAGATCCTGAGGATTGCACGTGAGCTGGTCTACAAGGTGCAGACACTGATAGAGAACAAGTGATGGAACTAAGAGAGAGCAGGAAATAGATGCAGATACTCAGCTTCCTCCTAGCAAGCTTGAGTGGGGAATCTTCCTCCACCACCCAGATGCCCTTCACCCCAACCTCTCTCCCTCTTCCCCCTGCAGCAGCTCCAGTTTCCCTGCACTTGAAAAATGATGGTTAAGGAGAACGAGTTGGTCATATCTTCCCTACTTCAGAGGATGTCATGCACCGAATTGAAAATGCAAATCGAGACCAGGAAAAAGTTGCAATTTTATCCCTGACTAGGTTAGAGATCCTTTAACTTAGTGTATAAAATCACATTTTCCTTTAAGTTTCTTTTCTGTCTTTGCCCACTCTTCATTGTGAGTATGTTTAATTTCCTTATTTATTTTTTTTTTTAAAACTCAGTGAGTGCCTAAATATTAAATTTGTGGCAAAAAAAACCCCTTTCACTGTCCACATTATATTCTTGTACCCTCAGACTGACAGACGGGTATATCTTAAACACTAAACTGGGAATAAGTGGGGATTTTCCCCCAGATTTTGCATTTGTGAATTCACAGTGTTTTTTAACTTCTGCAGACTGCTTGGATTTGGATGGACTGGTGTATATTTGGAATACTTTTCAATTCAGATCAATCCAATCTTATGGACTATTTTAGCATGTTTACACCAAAATAAGATATATTGTATTTTAATTTTATGAAGAATGTTGCCAATGATTCGATGTTCTATGGTTCTGTGTGTTTGTGTAATTCTGAATGCTCCCAATATATTGGGAAATAATTTCCATGTGTCATACAATATTTGCTATCTCTTCTTGAGGGCATTTCATGATTCACTCTTAGTACATCCATCAGTGAATCTGGGTTGAGTGGAATCAATTTTTGTATTTGCAGGTAACCAAACTTTTTGAGATCCAGCAAAAGTCATGTTTGCCGGTCAGTTCTCTCCAGGCTGCCAGTTAATTGCATCCCTGTAATATTTTCCAATGGTTTGGATCACCATTGGGAAATCTGGGCTATGGACCTCCTCAGCCGCATGCAGCAGCACTCACTTTATGGTCAGTCACTGGGATTTAAACAAGCACGGGGGTTTGTCGTCTCCTTCCCGTCACATTAAAGTGCCTCATCTTTGAGTGAATTGCTTTCCAGTGGTCCAACTAGTTAAAAAGGCAGGAGATCCTGTAATCCTAACTTAATGACTTTGTAGTTTATCATCAAAAAAATCAACTGCAAGGCCCTGGAGTACAAGGCTGGATGATTCTTGAATGAACCTGCATGTATCAGAAATGTGTGATTGTATATTTTTGTTTCTGCACTGAGGTGCTTTTCTCCTTGCCATCTTGTTCTCCCTTTTCCCTTATTCCTGAAGACACTGTCTCCTTATTCACATGGTTTCAAAGGTTCTGACTCTCTGTTGAATACCTCTCGTTTTGTCCATTATTTATGTGTGAACCCTAAAAAGTTGCTAATTATTTAGTTTTTGGGTTGCGTAGGGGCTGTCACAGCCAGATCCAATCTCACCCTGACATGATGTTCATTCATGGCTACACAAGTCACAGGAGATATCAAGAACAGCCAATTTTTCTACCTTTTCCTAATCTGACAATGCTGAGGTCTCTTGTTCCATCCCTACCTCCTTCGGCACATTGAGCATAGATCAGGGATAGAGTGGACTTTCCTGGTCTAGAAAGGCAAACCATTCCCTAGATGAACTCACTGAGCCATCATTTAATAAGGCATGGCAACCCCATTGCATTGACAGTCTCCTTGCAACACAATTTGAAACCTCTTGTACAGAAAATGAGAAGAAAACCTTCCATCATTTTTCTCTTCCTAAACATCAAAGAGAGAGCATCTATTGCATTCTCACTCTCGGTGGCTCAACTGGTAACTGCATAATAATAGGTTATTAACCTGGGACCAAGCAACCAAATAGAAACTGTCACCAATTACTGTGCAGGAATCAGTTGCCACCTGGTGTGCCGTTGTGATAATCATAAAACATTAAATGTAAATAGATTGCAACAAAACATTGACAAAATGTGCAGTTATCCAAAAAACAATGCATGTCCTGTAATTTGTGCCTGTAGTTAGCATCAGTTTTAATGAGACTGCATTAACTGTAGGATTCGTGCAAAACTACAGTCTGAATAGTCCAACAGAAAGAATGGGCAGTGAGTGCAGTTTCTCACTTTTCCTCTAATTTGTTTCTTTTTTGCCCCTTGCTGCTTATTCTGTTTTATTTGGAATGTATAATAAATTTCATGTTCCCACCTTTAGGCAATGCCCCACTCTTTGGGCAAGATGCTGTGCCAAAATTAACACTTGACTTCTTAGACTTCGAATTGAGACGTTTTGAAAATCAACTATTAACATGCATAATAGGTAGGGTTTTCTCTCCATGCTGACCATCTTGTTTTTTTTAATATTCAGTATTACTGATCACACTGAAGGGGTAAGACTCTGAACTGCTATGTAAATAACCAATTTCAGTGACTTACAGTTTCCTGTAACACAAGCATGAGGCCTTTTCGATTTCATGGCTGACCTATGTCACGTACTAATTTTTTTATCATTTAGAGTTTGTCTTAGTTTACAATCATCCCATGACTTTGTCAACAATAAGTTATAGGCTGCATCCATGCAGGGGGTGAGATGAATGCAACATGGCCATTCAAAATATTTTGGCAAAATATTTTTGAACCTGTCCAGAAACAATTATCTGTTTTTAGTAATTGGATCAAATTTGCCAAGGACTTTCTGTGTGGCTATGTGATAGACACGTGACTTTTATATCAATACATTTGAGAGGGGAGTAAATAAAATCTGTTGTATTTTTGCAAAATTAAATGCCAAGTATAAATTTTTTATCACACTCATTTTGACACTGTGTTTTCACCTTGAATTAGCCTCTGTCTCTGTCTAAAATCTACCTCAGCTAGTTGTGATTGTGATAAATTCCTTGCTGTAAACAAAGCACTTTTTCAAGCAGTCAGCATTCACACACTCAGAGAATGTGTATCCTTTTCTCCTCTTCAATTTACTTAAATATTCCCTTTCTCACCTGGGCATGGTTGTATTTAGAAACAGAAAACTCCTATCTTGCATTCCTACATGGTCTTTGAAGTGTGGAGGATTTCTTCCCCCTGTTGTCCTACTCTTTCTTAAAAAAAAAAGTTCATTGACCTACCAGTATAACTTCTGTAGAAAATCAGCCTCAGAAAATAAGCATAGATACCTGTTTTTCCAGGATGTTTGATAATATTCTGAAGTTGGAACATTGATGAATTAAAGCGTTACAGTGCACTAATTTCCTTGCATGTCGTAGCACACTGAGACCGCTTGTAGCTGTTCATTTGCATCCTATGAGTGGGAACATTTATTATGAATACATTTATTGGAGACCAGGATAATTTCCCAGCCCTCTTGCAGAATTTAGTTGAAGGCGGAAACTGGGTAAAGGTGCTGGTTTGTAATAATAACTTTGTAGGGAGTTCTACATTAATGTTTGGGATGAGGAGAGGGTAGAAGGGTGTAAAATTGTCATTTTTGCTCAACTTTTCCAGTGAGGACTAGAGTAGAATCCAACTGACACTTGATTAAAGATATAGGGGCAGCAATTTTTGAAAAGTGCTTTTTGAACATTTTTTATCCCATTGCTGCTGATTATTTTATTGAGAAGTTCACTGGTGATTTGGTCAAATTGGACATCATAATCAAGGAGCAAAGAGAAAATCCTGTATATTATCCAAAGTTGGTTTTAAGAGCCTGTCATTTGTAGACTGAATAGAAGAACTGAAGGAGATCAGGTGTTTCGCGACTTGGCAAAGAATGAGTTAGAATTGAAGGCAGTTTGATGTAAAATGCAGATTCCTACGTTCTATTTCCCCTGGAATTTTATGCTCCATAATTAACATTCCACATTATACAGTAAGAAACACTAAACTTGACAAAATATATGAAATAGTTTCTGTATAGCTTTGGAGAATATCTGAAAGCTGTAATATATCGGGCTGGTGATATCTGACAATATGAAGACAGTATTTTGTCAGGCGAAGAGTGTCAAGGAGCAAAAGTGTGTAAATGCCATTGAGGTGCCAATCGGCCCCAATAAAACTGAATAACAGTGCAGGCTGGAAAGCTTGAATGGCTCACTTCTAATATAATCATATTTTAATAAGCAGGTTTATAATTGGATGCTAAATGTAAGTAACTATTTTTTTTAAAAAAATTATGAAATAATTGCTGAATACTTTCTCTCAAAATACATCATACAATGGGCTGTAAATTATTTTATTAAATGAGCAACAGCTCACTTCTTCGTAATCAAGTGCAGAATTTAAAATGTAGGATTCTGAAGTTTTGAGGCATGTGATTTCTGAAAATGGTTTTATTCAGTGAGTTGTTTAGCCCAACAACTTAGATTTACGTAGCACCTTTCCCATGGTAAGCAAAGTCAAGGTACTTCATTAGAGAAGAAAGCACAAGTGTCTTCTTGCTTATCATTGAGAAATTTCACCGTGCACCTTCAAACTTTTACTGTTTATGAAATATATAAATGCTTGGCTTCTGCTTTAAACCTTGTTGAAGCAATGATTGTGTTCTATGATTAAACTTCATGTAAGATTCTGTTGTAGGTTCTGTACATATTTAACTTGTAAAGTGTTACTCTGCTCTATTTATTGTATTCTGTTTGTGTTCTGTTGCAAACAGCTGACTCTGTTCTAAAGTTATTAAGGATTTCTTTCAATTTGTGGCTGTCAACTAAGAAGAGTTAGAACTCTCACACTAGCTTTCTCCCTCAAAAAAGCTTTTTCATTTCAAATTAAGAAATACGCTCTGAGCATAATTCCATACTTTATTACATTCCAAGTGGAGAAACCGTTTCAAAGTTCTGCATGTTCTATTACACTGGGTAATACTTTCAGACAGTAAACTCCACTCTGCAGGGTCCTGGATTAGGAGGGTGGGTGACGTTTCAGAAATGGAGTTGCCACTGGTTAATGACTGTATGGTCAGAGTGGTGATGGACAGTTTGGCCTTGTGGAATGGTAACCCTAGTTAGCATCTTCAGAATGGAAGAGGAAAGTGTTGAGGAGGGAGTGGTGTGAACAAGAAAACCCCACCACTGAATTTGCAGTCAGTCCTAGTTGGTACCTCCAGTAGATATTGAACATTCAGCAACAGGGACTTATAACTGAGCAGATTGTTGTATCGTCATCAGTGTCTGATACAGCTCACTCTGGGACTTTGCATTGTCTGACATAGAAAGCTGTGGCTGAGCCTTTTCTGATAACTATTTCATCAGCATTTTGAAAGTTTTGTGTTTCACACAACCCGCAATTGTCAGTACAATCAAACTACTAAGGACTTTGCTTTCAAGCATATGAAATTTTCAGCAAAAGCCTCAAACAGCATCCCCCTCTGTCAAGAATATTTTGGACCTAGAAGCATTTTTATCAATAAAATCTATTTTCTTTAAGCTGTTTCATAATTACCCCACCTTAATTCAGCTTAACCATATGATAATTATGATTATTTACAATTAATGAAGAATGTTCTGCACTGCAGGACTTGGGAAGGGGAGAAACAAAAGCTATAGTTCACAGCACCAGTAATTTTCCAAAGGGCATAATTTGCTTTAGGTTTCTAAATGAAATATATGCTAAGTTTGTTCAAAAAGCCTGGGAATGACTGTATTACATTGCTGTCTGAACATTACATAAAATTGCATCATATTTATTTGCTATTTTGATGGGGGCATTGGATATGTGAGCACTTGTATGGAAAGGATCAATTTGTACGTTGATGTACACACACTGTAATTTCTAAGTGATCATTTCTTCCCCCAACCTCAACCAAAACACGAATGTTACAAATATATCTGAAGCTTGCACTGCCTTTGAATTGTGGTTGGGATGATAAACTCTCACAGCAGTGAATCAATGTGTGCAACTCTTGTTCACTTGGTACCTATATTATGTTGTACATGTATTGCACCTTAAACATTGTGATGCGTTATTTATTTATTTTTGGATTTTTTTTCTGTTAAGATACGTACTTTGAATGTAATGTTGTATCAAATAAATTATTGTCTTGCATTATTTTATTGTCCAATGAGCAGTTGCATCTGACCTAAAACAAACAATGATTCTGAAGTAGAACCTCTTTGTATCCAGCAACACCACTAAAGGCACTTGCAGCCAATTCTTGAACTGCTGTCACTGTTACATAGACTAATGATGATTGCTGATTTCTACTAAGTTTCCATAAAGAGCAATGAGAAAAACAATATGATATTCATTAAATAGCTGATTATCAGATCCATTATTTAATTTAAAATAAAGTAAAACAAATAATTGTGGGATGCTGAAGATCTGAAACAATAACAGAAATTGCTGGAGAAACTCAGGTCTGGCAGCATCTGTGGAGAGAAAGCAGAGTTAACGTTTTGAGTCTAGTAACCTGCTTCAGACTGTTCTGAAGGAATGGCGCAGTGGTTAGCACTGCTGTCTCTCAGCACAAGGGAACCAGGTTCAATTAAAGCCTCAGGTCTCTGTCCTGTGTGTTGCACATGCTCCTTGTGTTTGCGTGTGTTTTCTCCGGGTGCTCCAGTTTCTTTCCTCCCACAGTCCGAAGGTGTGCAGGTTAGGTGGATTGGCCTTGCCAAAAAACCCATGGTGAGTTGGCACGTGTCGGCTAGGTGGATTAGCCATGGTAAATGGGGGGGGTGGGGGGGGTGTCTGGGTGGGATGCTCTTCAGAGGGTTGATGCAGAACCGATGGGCCGAATGGCCTCTGTGTGTGCTGTAGGGATTCTATGACAAAGTTTGTGTTGTGCTGTTGACGGACCACACGTGTGCGTGCACACAGTGAGCTGGATTTTACGTGGAGGCAGAGGGCCTGCCTACTGAAAACTCAGGGGGTGAGGGTAAGTTTCCCTCAACACCTGGGAAATGACCTTACTTTACAGTGGTCAGCCAGTGGCCAAGGTTATGTTTTCCACACTCAAGTTGCAGCAAGTCCTGCTTCCATGAGTGGCAGGCCAGTTAGATAGTTGGAGTTTCTTATCTCAGCAGTTGTACTCGGAACACTGGGCACTGGTGGGACTACAGTCAGCGGCAGCCACAAACCAATGCAGAAAGCTGGAGTTGGAGGTGAGTGCTGCAGACAGACCCAGGTGTGAAGAGTGACCGTAATTGTGGGAGGGAGGGTGTTCGAACAAGGGTTCTGCCAAAGAGCTTTCCTCTGTTGGGTACAGGGCACCCAATAAAATAACTCGACGCCGATACCAGTAAAGGCAGATGGGCAACAACCAACTGCAATAACTACCATTCCACCAATTTTTTTTTTTTTTTGCTCCCATGCTTTCAGAAACTTGATACCATTGTAAAGTGGACCTGTTCTTCTTAAATAGTGTAACTGTTGCAAGTTGCAGATCCTCCCCATACAAACTAAATAATACCAACACCACCTGGAATGAAGAAGAAAAAATATTGAGGTAGTAACCACATAATGACTGTGCAGAAACTTTTTTTCAAATTCAGCAAAGACTGAGAGCTGATGGGTAATTATTAAGGACCCTAAAAGAGAATCCAATAACCTGAAGGTGACCATGGAAAATTAGGACTGTCCCTGATCAGTTTTGGGTAGCAAGTTAAGAAATCTTTCAACAGGCCAACATCTTTTTTGTTTAAATGCTTATTTCCATTTACTTCCAAGTCTCATTATATGAGAATTTCACTGTACTTCTTCAATAATTTACAAAACAATTAAAAATAATAATTAGAGAATACTGCAAAAAACTTTTTTCTCTCCTCCAGCTTACCCTGAAAGATGTCTAGTTTAGGACTAATTTCTTAGACATAGTCTTAGAATCTTTAAAAAATACTGCACAAAACAGGAGCTTGAACCATCAAAGTCAACGTTTCTGAACCAATTTGGTCAACCCTTAGTAAAACAAAACCAAATGCGTAAACGTGGAAAAAATGGCAGTGTTAGAATTTTATTTGGAATTATCTGGCTGATGTTGAATAACTTTAAATTTGGAACACTGAACAACTCATTGGGAACACAGGAATTCAGCCTTAGTCTGGTCAAATAAACCTGTGATTCACCTCTAATGATCATC